TATTCCTTTTGTGTTTTGTTTTTTAAGTCTTCCATCTGCACCCCCCCATCCTCCTAATGTTGAGAAAATCAAATTTCTTGGGTGTGTCCTTGTTAAGTGATCAAAAGTAAATGTTCTCTTTGCCATTTTAGATTGAAAAATAATAAAATATTAAAAAGTAAATTCTCGCTTTTCATTATATTGAAATGACCTGGCATCATCTATTTCACAGTAATATAAAATGTTTTTCTGTCACCAGTTGTCACCACTCGCATTGCTGACAGTGGGATAGGTGTTGGGGGCAAAACCCAGTTCCTAACAGTGGATACTGCTAATCATTCATCTTTTCCACTCTCTTCAGATAGTCTCTTTAATTCTTGCACAAATTAATATTTTGCAGCAAGTAGTCTTTTGGTCTTTATTGGTAGAAGAATCACTTGTTATATGTGTTCTGGTTATTTTTCATATTACTTGTGTGGATAAAAGTATGTTACCTTTCTATATTAAGGTAATCTGAGGATAGTTGCAGTTACTCTAATATTTGTAATATAATGTTATGTACTTAGTTTTATTTTTTTAAATAAGAACTGAGAGATATCTGTTATACATTTGAATTTTTAATTTGCGCTGCTGTATTTTAAACCTAACCATACTCATTTAAAATAATTAAGTAGGCCTGAAAGTCAGCCATGTGTTAATTACTCAATTTAATCAATTTTTAAAGCCTTCACAAATTGATATTTTTTTCCAACACCCTTCATTCTCTTAAATAATTTTAGCCTCATGAAACCGTATGTACTAAAGAAATACTTTTTTAAGATTCCAGGTTACTGTGCATTTGTGCTTGTAATCTGCTTTTTTAACATTACGGCTAATCTTTTGCATACAGACATATCACTGTGGAATAATTGCCATATTTCAGAGTTCCTCAGGTTTCCTTTTCCTTTTTCATTCTCTGTCTATGAATTAAATAGTATACAGAATAGCCCATATAAAGCAATATAGTTAAATAAAACCAGGTTAAATGATTTCCTTTGTATCTGCCCAAAGTTGATAGCACACATGTACTTTTACAGAGTAAACTAAAACTACGAAAAAGAGGATGAAAACTTTCCTCATTGTGGAGTTTTAGGTGGTTGCTTTAGAAGCTGGTAATGTAGTGCGCAGAAAGAACTCTCAGTAACACGTACTTCTTGGACCTGTGAGTTTTAGGAAATGGGACCTTTTCTGAAGATCTCAGAATGGGGAGTTGGCCTTAGGACCTAATGTCCCAACTTAGTGTTGGACCCTTTTAATGGAAGATATTTTTAATGATTAACATCCTTTTCAAAACCTTTGAAATAGTTATTGGTATCCTGGTAAAAATCTATCATTACTCTGTTTCTCTGAAAACAAAATTAACTGGTGAGGCGAAAGCTAGTTCCACGGGGCACCTACCTAATGAACAGGACTTAGTTTTAACTGTTAAGAATATCATTTGTATTATAGTCACTCCTTAGGTTTTTAGTTATAAAACACGTAAGTCTATCATCACACAGATGAATTTATTTGCTAATAAAATATTTGAAGCCACAGTAGACTCTGAAATATCCAACCATCAAACTCCTGAATAACTAGATGATTTGGCTATAATAATCTTTATCAGGTAGTGCTTCTTTTCATCTCTCTCTTGAAATGTCTACAGTAGGATGTTAGTAAACGCTCTTTTAAAAATAAAAAGTTGTTTGGAATAAAAGGAAAACTGAATTCCTTCTATATTTTTGTTACTAATAAATAATGCTTTTGTAAATTTGAATGGAAAACCACTTGTATGTATTGCTATTTGGTTGCAGTTATGCTCTCCAGTTTAATTTAAAATACAGTATGCAATAAAAATTTCATGAAGGATGAGTTCCAATAATCAAAAAAATAAATGCATTTCAAAGCTAAAATTTTGTGTGATATGTATGACTGTATCAACAGGGTGAAACTAAATACTAAAATATATAATGCAACTTCTTTAAAGATCAAAGCGACCTAAAAATATTTCACATTTCAGATACTCTGCCAATATTTAATATCCTCCTTTTATTGAAAGCAGTGCTAACAAGGAATGGCAGGAAGGCTACCCTAAAATCGTATATTACATTCTAGAAATGGTATAGAATTGAGACAGGGCAAAACATACTCTATATCCACTTAATCTATATAAATGACAACAGTATAAATTAGGGTAAAAATGTGACCCAGGAGATTCATCATCATTTGAAAATATACTCCCCCCCGCTTTTTTTGTGAAACAGAGTCTCGCTTTGTCACGAGGTGCCAGGCTAGAGTGCAGTGGCGGGATCTCAGCTCACTGCAGCCTCCGCCTCCCAGGTTCAAGCAATTCTCCTCTCTCAGCCTCCCAAATAGCTGGGACTACAGGAATGCACCACCACGCCCAACTAATTTTTGTATTTTAGTAGAGAAGGGGGTTCCACCATGTTGGCCAGGATGGTCTCGATCTCTTGACCTTTCGATCTGCCCAGCCTCCCAAAGTGCTGGGATTACAGGCGTGAGCCACCGCGCCCAGCCTTACTCCTCTCATTCTTAGAAATAAAAATACACGTTAGGAATCAACACATTGGCCAGGTGTGGTGGCTTACGCCTATAATCCCAGCACTTTGGGAGGCCGAGGTGGGTGAATCATAAGGTCAGGAATTTAAGACCAGCCTGGCCAATATGGTGAAACCCTGTCTCTACTAAAAATACAAAAATCATCCGAGCATGGGTGGTGGGTACCTGTAATCCCAGCTACTCGGGAGGCTGAGGCAGGAGAATTATTTGAACATGGGAGGTGGAGGTTGCAGTGAGCCGAGATTGCACCACTGTATTCCAGCCTGGGTGACAAAGTAAGACTCCCTCTCAAAAAAAAAAAAAAAGAAATCAACACACAGATTTCCTGCCCCTTGGATTTAGCTTTAGGTACAGAGTGCTGGAGATAGATACTGCAGACCAGGGACCCCAAGCAGCTTGGAAATGTGGATCATAGCTCTTCAAGTCTGTGATCAGAAATGAATGGCCTCCAATAAAAACTCCATTGCAAAAAAATGGCAAAAACAATGCTAAGAATACCAAGGTCAAGGAGGCAGAGCCAGAATAATTTGTGGTAGAAAATGTCCTGGACTGATGTGGAAGCAATGGGAAGCTGGGAGCGGTAGCATTTCCCAGAGTGGAGGGGATTTACAGATGCTGACAATACTTGAGAACTTGAAAACTTGACTATTCATTTAATTTTCAAAAAGCTGGTCAAGAAAAAAATGATGCACACAAAAAATCATTTCAGCCTGATGACAGCAAAACAGTCCGCGAACAAACCAAGTGGCTTTGCCATAGATAGAATTAATGTTTCTCATGAAATGGAAAGATTTAAATAAGGCAGAGCTGGAGCTGGCAAAGGAAGTAACATGAATGTCTTCCGATTGTAACTGCTTTTTATAAAGAGACTTAACTTGGCATTTTTGTAGACAAAATGAAGTTCAATATTGCTTGCATTGAGAGATACATATATAAAATCAATTTGGATCCTGATTTTGTTTTTCAGTATGAATACCTACATTCAAATAAAAACTGATGTGTTCATTTCAAAATAGTATCTGGAGAAGTGGTTGAGGTTTTTTTATATCAATAGCACTAATTACTTTGAACAAGTAAGTGTTCTCTAGTTGCCTCACTTTATCACAGATAAAAGAACACACTGGTCAACCTTGTTAACAAACAAAATGCAAACTAAAGTGTTGATGCTCTGTGCTGAAAAGATTCTAGTGAAATAGCTACATTTTAATTACTGAAAAAAGTATAAATTGCTATAACCTTTATACAAAAAATTTTTAATACATGTGAGGCCATTAAAACATATATACTCTTTGACCCAATATAATTCACTCCTGGGCCTTTATACAGAGAAAATCAAAAACGAAAGAATGAAAAAGTCCTGTGTACAAAAGTATATTGCAGTAATAGCAACAAGTAGGAAACAACCTACATGTTCATAAAAGGGGAATGGATAAAGATATAACTACATAAAATAGAACTCACTTAAGTTGGCAATTAGACTTTATATCAGTATCTAACTTTTTAAAAAAGGCAAGGTACAACGTAGGAATTTTAGAGAATTGATGCATTTGAGAAAAGATGAAGCAGATATATAATTGTTCACAGTGGTAAGTTATAGGTGATTTTCTCACATTTTATGTCAGTTTCTCGTATATCAAAAACTACATTCATATTGAGACATGTAAATCTTTATATCCAGAATAATTTGATATAGATGCCTTAACATTGCTAAATGAGACAACTTTGGAAAGATTCTTGTTTTGTGATTCCCTTTATCCCTCTAAGCACAGTGCTTTGTTAACACTGTGTGTGTGCTGCTTAGGGTAAAGAATTTCTAGGACAGGCGCTGTGGCTCATGCCTGTAATCCCAGCACTTTGGGAGGCCAAGGCGGGTGGATCATGAGGTCAGGAAATTGAGTCTATCCTGGCCAACATGGTGAAACCCTGTCTCTACTAGAAATACAAAAAAAAAAAAACAGCCGGGTGTGGTGGCGCGTGCCTGTAATCCCAGCTACTCGGGAGGCTGAGGCACAAGAATAACCTGAACCCAGGAGATGGAGGCTGCAGTGAGCTGAGATCTGCACTCCATCCTGGTGACAGTGCGAGATTCCATCTCAAAAAAAAAAAAAAAATTCTAGTCAGCTAAATGCCCCAGGTGACTGCATGATTCCATGCTAGACCAAGTACAGGAAAAAGCAGTGATGTTCTTGCCCCTAGCTGAGCACTTGTTTTCCCCGACAAACTGTATTCATCCACAGAATAGTGAAATAAGCTAGATCCTAGTACAAGACAAGAATTCAATCTAAAAACTCTCTAGATAGATAATTAAAATATTGCTAGTTTTGTTATTCACAAAACTGAAGATACTTGATGGAATATCTTCATCATCTCAAACAACTGTCAGTATCAACTAAGTGGCTATACCTAACACAAAGAACTAGTTATCAATTAAAATAGTATTGTACCATTTTTACACCACTATGTGTAAATGCTCTTGGGTTTGAAGACTAATTGAATCTGCTTTCAGCATTTTGTTGCAGAGTTTTGGAACTAGCTCCTTTAGAATGCTCTAACAGCTTGATGGCCTTGTCAGAGTTTTCGATGTTTCTAAGCAGAGTCTCTAATCTCCTCTTAATTTTCTTCTGATCTTCAAGAGCACAGCCAATGACTATGGATTGAAACTTCTGATCAACTGGCCCATGTGGCACCTCAGATGAACATGCACTATAAAGCGACATTAAATGACTCTTGGCATTTCCCAAATCATCCAGAAACTTATTGACCACCTCATCGATAATCCTTGTGGCATGCTTTAGAGATTCTTGCTGCTGGGGGTTTCTAATTGTTTCTACTGAAACTTCAACGGTGAGAGTTCTTCCCATCAAACGGTTTGCAGTCAGATTTAATTCTTCTCTTTCTCCTAAAATACCAATCAATATGAGACATAAGCTTATCCATGTCAAGAACATTAAGGCATTTGTGACTAAATTTATTAAGTACCTCTGCTATGCAATTTTTTTAAAGATAAAAGCTAAAACTATAGCATATAAGATTAACTGGTGAAATGTATTAGATTACCGAAAGAGGTTGAAGAATACCATTTCCTGATAATCTTTATACATGGGATCCCAGTAGACTTCCCAAATTGGCATGTTTGCAGAAGTTTGGGTAGGTATGCATTTGTAACTAAGATGGAGATCAAGTCTTAACACCATGAGGAGTAAGCATATATAGGGTTTGTGCTGGGTAGAGCTCGAGGTCAGATGTCCTAGATCTCTCCATAAGGACATGTGCATTGATGAATACACTGCCCCAAATTTTGGTTGAGAAAATGCAGCCATGATAGAAGATAAGCTGGCCTCAATACAGGCACTGACTTCATCCTTCTCCAGACAGAAGCAGGACAGGAGTCTAAGTCTTGGCCAGCACAAGGAGGAGCTCTATCAACATTTCATTATTTATATGAAAAAGTCAGCAGTCTCCTGCTTGTTCTGTTTTGTAACTTCCTAACTCCTTAATCTTTGGGCAGGATAGTGTAGAGAAACTAGATCGTGGCCCACCACAGATGTGCCACAGTTTTGATCTGGATTTAGATTGCTTAGTTATCTCACTAGCCACTTGGCTCACTAATGAGGCCTGTGTGGCACCAAAGAAGCTCAAGTAGGAAGTACAGTGCCAATGAAAGAAAATCACAAGTGACCTATTTCAACACAGCCAGTCATGTTTTTCACATGAAAATGACACCACAGGCCAGGTCCAGTGGCTCACGCCTGTAACCCCAGCACTTTGGGAGGCTGAGGTGGGCCGATCACCTAAGATCAGGAGTGCCAGACCAGCCTGGCCAACATGGCGAAACCCTGTCTCTACTAAAAATACAAAAATTAGCCGCACATGGTGGTGGACGCCTGTAATTCCAGCTACTCGGGAGGCTGAGGCAAGAGAATTGCTTGAATCCGAGAGGCGGAGGTTGCAGTGATCCACGATCGCGCCATTGCACTCTAGCCTGGGCAACAAGAATTAAACTACCAACTCAAAAAAAAAACAAAAAAAAAAAAGAAAAAAAATGACAGCACATTTTTATGTTCATGCCTTTCTTGGTCCTACAAGTTTCCTCATTTCCTCTGTATTCTGTCCCTTCTCTTTATTTTATGCCTCAATTCATCTTTTCTTGTCTCTACTTCTCTGCTTCCACTCTCTCACCTCTTTTCCTCTGCTTTTCAATGTCTTGCAGTCCAGTAACTTGTAAAGAACTGAAGTTATGAGTGTGAACCTGGGATAAAACACATGGCCTTACTGCTTGGGGCCAGCTCTTCTGAGCTTGCAGGCTTTTCCGTCTCTCTCCCAGCTATGGGCTTGGGGTAGGGAGCATACTACAAGAAATCTCTGAGTAAGTGGCTGTTGTAATAAACTGACAGCTGCAGCTGCTCTCTGCAGCTCACGTTAAATGCTGTGGTCTAGAGCACGCATACCAAAAGTCAAGCAAAAATTGACCCACACTTATCACAAACTCTTTAAAGCAGTGTAAAAGACGAGCCCCTTCTGTGGAGATGGCTCTCACCGTCACTGATCTGCCTCATGTCCTGGCTATTTTGGATACTGTGGATCATTTCCAGAAGGATTTCTTTCTCTTGCTCAACAGCAGTTGCTGCTTCTCTCAAAGCTTCAACCCTATAGAAATTGGGAAAACAAAACAGTTATTGTATGGAGGATGTTCTTCTTGTTAATTTTCTTTCTCTCTCATTCAGCCCAAATCAAGTTCAAAGATCACTTTTCAAAAATTCTTCACTCTTGCTTTAAAATTCTTTCTTTTTTCTATTTTTATCCATTTGTCTTTCTCCCATTTCCTCCCAGCTCATAAGGCAATCATTGTATTTCGTGTTTGTCTAATAGCACTTGTTTTTTTTATTAGATCTGTATCATTTGTATATTTTGAATTTATATCTCATTCTGTTTTTGTTTTTTCACTTAGCATCCAGGTTCTTATGAGTACTTTTTTTTGAGACAGAGTCTTGCTTTGTCACCCAGCTGGAGCACACTGACACGATCTCACTGAATCCTCCACCCCCTGGGTTTAAGTGATTCTTGTGCCTCAGGCTCCAGGCCCAGCTAATTTTTGTATTTTTACTAAAGATGGGATTTCACCATGTTGGCCAGGCTGGTCTCAAACTCCTGGACTCAAGTGATCTGCCCGCTGCAGATTTCCAAAGTGCTGGGATTCAGGTGTGAGCCACCGCACCCGCCCCCATGTGTACTTCTAATCAGTTGCTTCTAATTGCTGTATAATACTCCATGTGCATACCTACCTGATTTTTCCTCTCCACTCTTCCAGAGATGTACAATCAGGTTGTCTACCAGCTTCTCATTACTACAAATAACACTTTTATGAATAAATGTCCCTTTTGGACCTTGGTGAGGATTTCCTTAGGACATATACCAGGGCAGCACTGCTGAGACACAGGGTCTATGTACTCTGCTTCTGACTTAGTACTACGATTATTCTGCAGAATACCTGTATTCTTTATCCACTCTCCACGGCAAAGCACAGCTGTCCTCGTATCCTTACCAGCACTCCACATTTTCCAACTTACTGCCAGTCTAATAGAAATACACTGATATGTCAGTGTTAGCTTGCATTTTCCTAATAATTTCAGACATCTTTTTGTATCCTTGTTAGCCTATTCATAGACTTTTCCTATTTTGTTTTTCTATTTGTAAACAGGAGTTACTGTCCCCTTGTTGATTTGTATACTCAAGAG